GAGGCCGCGCCGCGGGCGGCGCCGCCGGCCAGCGAGGCGCAGCGGTGCGCGCTGGGCGGCGCCGGAGGCCGGAGAAGAGGAAGCGGCATGAAGAGACAGTGGAGGCCAGTCATTGGTCTCCACTCGGTCACCAGTGGCAAGAAGCACCCTTCGGGCCGGACGAAAGGGGGGGGATTGGGAAAGGGGGGGCTACGAAATTTGCTGCGCATTGGAAAACAACAAGACGGAGGTTTCTCTAAGTTTTTGGCCTCTGGGGGCCCTCGCCGGGCCCCGGGACCGTCAAAGAACGACTCGGGACGAAAAACCGGCCCCGGGGAAAGGGTCGGGAATTCTGGTGACCGAGTATTGAAAAAGTCACGGCATCGGATCTCTGGGTACAGTGGGGACCAGTGCCAAGAAGCACCCTGTTTGCCTCCATTCTGCCATGGGCTTCTTGGGTTTCGGCAGCTTTGCGATGGAGAGCGTGGCGTTCCCACACCAAGAAGCACCCTTCGGGCCGGACGAAAGGGCGGGAGTGGGAAAGGGGGGGCTACGAAATCTGCTGCATGCAGCTGGTTTCGGCCTCACCGAGGGGCCGATTCCTCGATACATAGCCGCCTCCGGCGCCGGGAAAATCAGCTACGTGAGCTGATTCTCAACCCCCCCCTTTGCTATCCCCCCCTTTCGCCCGACCCGAACCCTGTTTGCCTCCAGGCTGCCATGGGTTTCTTGGGTTTCGACAGCTTTGCGATGGAGAGCGTGGCGTTCCCACACCAGAGGTCAATGGTCGTCCTGGGGTCTCAGGGTTGGGCTTCTTGCGGAAGGTTTCTTATGGTCGGGCCCCATATTGCACAAGGGGTTCGTACCCAGAGATCCGAGGCTCCCCAAAAATTGGAACAGGCGGATTTGGGCTGACTTCGGCCTCCGGGGGCCCTCGCCGGGCCTCGGGAGCGTCAAAAAAAGATTCGGCGCGAAAAACCAGCCCTAGGGAAGTGGTCCAGACCTCCGGGATCCACGCATCGAAAAAATTGGAGCAGCCGGATATCTGGTGAGGGGGGGGCGTCCCAAGGTGGGGTTCGTTTCCCTCCCAACCCCACCTCTGGCCCCCTACCCAACCTTTCCGCACCCCCCGACAAGCCTCCTCCCGAAGAGCTGGGCCAGCGTCTCTTCGCCGATTTGATGGAAAGCTGGCAGGTCTCTCGAGCACGTTCGCCCCGCAGCGTTGACGAGCAAATCTGGCCCAGGCTGGTTTCAAGAAATGTCTGAGAAGCTGGCCCAGGTTTCTCAAGCGATAACTCCAGCCACGCGCAGAGGGGGTTGGGGGGAAGGGGGAGGGCTTCCTAGAAGCACCCCTGCTTCTCGGCGCCTTCTGAGAAGCAGCCTCCTTCTAACAAGCCTTCCCCCCTCCCTCCACCCCCTCCTCCTCCTCCTCCTCCTCCTCCTCCTCCCCCTCCTCCTCCTCCTCCTCCTCCTCCTCCACCCCCTCCTCCTCCTCCTCCTCCTCCTCCTCCTCCTCCTCCTCCCCTGTGCGCGCCGCCAACAGCAGCCTTGCGCAGCTGCTCGGCCGTGAGCTCTCGAAGCTCCGCGCGGGCTTCCCCAGAGGGGCGCCGGGCCCCCCGTGGCGCGCTGCGCGCGCGCCGCTTGGAACGACACACCGCGGGGGCTGCCAAGGGGAAGAGGGGGGGGCTCCAGGTGGGTGCTGCTCGAGGTGGTTTGCCCCCAGAGATCCGACGCACCGAGCAGATCAAGACGGGGGTTCTGCCGAGGTTTCTGGCCTCTGGGGGCCATCGCCGGGCCCCGGGAGCGTCAAAAAGCGACTCAGGACGGAAAGCCGGTCCCGGGGAAAGGGTCGGGACTTCCGGGGGCCCCGCATTGACAAATATCACGACATCGGATTTCTGGGGTGGGTGCTGGGGCGGTTCGTATCTGGCTTCATCTGGCATGCACGTGGGCCACCAGGGGCCCGGAGTGGCTCGAGGGAGTCCCATGACTCCGCCAAGTCGACGGAGCCCGCGGAGCTTGGATCTATACCCGCGCGCGCCCGGGCGCGCGCGGGCGCGCGCGCGCGTGCGTGCGTGCGTGCGCCCGCGGCAGTCGGGGGCACATGCAACCCAGTTCGAACCAATGTAGCATCCACTTCGAGCCCCCCTGGCAAGCCCCGTTGTGGTCCAAGCAGGGAGGGGGTGGCCGGCGCCGCTCTGGGAACTCCGCGCGGGCCCCTGAAGGCTTATGGTTCTGCTCGGCGCCGAGCCCAGGGGGCAATGCAGAGGGGGCGGGCCCAAGGCAACGACCACAACGACCAATGCGTGTCTGCTGCTGTACTCCGTGAGAGCACGTGGAGAAAAGGCTCGCCGAGGACTCTGCCGACCCTCGGTGTGAACTCGCTGGCCCAGCTTGCTCGAGCCTGGGACTCGACCCAGGGACACTGCAGAGGGGGCGGGCCTGCACGGGAGGCTTCAGGCCTTCTGCGAGGTTCCCCGTGCCTTCCCAGACATCGGGCGTCTCGAAAAAAACGAGACGAGGGTTTTTCAACGTTTTCGGCCTCTCGGGGCCCTCGCCGGGCCTCGGGGCTGTCGGAAAACGACCCGGGACGACAAACTGGACCCTGGAAGTGGTCGGGAGGTCGTGGGCCCACGTCTCGAAAAATCGAGACGTCGGATGTCTGGGTTCTCCGAAGGCACGGACGGCTTCACAGCAGGCGCGGGACCTTCTGCGAAGCCCCGCCATGCCTTTCTGAGAAGGCCTGCCCCCCTCGGACGCCTGGTGGCTTTTTGGGTTATCAATCGGCTGCCCCGGAGGAGGAGGAGGAGGACGAGGAGGAGGAGGAGGAGGAGGAGGAGGATGAGGAGGAGGAGGAGGAGGGGGCCCTTCGGGACGAGCCCGTCACCCCCCGGAGCGCTCTCGGCGAGGCGCGGCTGCTGGAGAGCACCCCGAGGCGAGAGAGCCGCCGAGGCCCGACGAGCACGCCCGAGAGCGTCGAAGCTCTGGCCCAGACCCAGAGATCCGCTGTCGTGATTTTTTCAATACGGGGTCCCCGGAAGTCCCGACCAGGGGGCCACCTGCGAACCCTCCCCCCACCCCCCACGATTTCTGAGGGGGGGGGGGTTCACTTCGCTCGGGAGCTCCCGAGCGAAGTGAACCCCACCCTCCCCCTCAGAACTCGTTGGGGGGTAGGGGTAGGGTTCGCATGTGGCCCCCTGCCGACCCACTCCCCAGGACCGGTCTCTCGTCCTGAATCGTTTTTTCACGGTCCCGGGGCCCGGCGAGGGCCCCCAGAGGCCAAAAACTTGGAGAAGCCTCCGTCCTGATTTTTCCATGCGTTGGATCTCTGGGGAGCCCCCTCTCGCTTCCCCCTCGGGCTCGCCGCCGACACGCCGTTCTGCCGCCCTCCAAGAGGGGCGGGGCTCGCGCAGAAGCGGGCGGGTGCGGAGCCCGAGGCCGCCTGCAGCGGCGCGGCTGCGCCCGGCAGCCTGGACCTCGTCTCGCCCCAGCGCAGGATCGGGGGCGGCAGAGAGGGGGGTGATGACTAGGGGGGGGGGGGATATCATGGCGGGGGCCATGATATTTCCCCAGATTTCACGGCGCCTCATCTTATTTCATTACGTCCCTGGCCCCCCTGCTGGGCCGCGCACATGCCGCCGGTCATGATTTGCACACCCCCCCTCTTGGACACCCCCCTCTTGGCCGCTCCCGACAGGAGCAAGCGGATCCGCCTCACCGGCTCTCTGGGCGCTCAGAAGTTCGAGGTTCGAGCTTTTTGGTTTCGCAGTTGCGTCTCAGACATGAGATCGCGGCGTACACAGTTCAGGACGGAGGTTTTTCACTAGTTTCGGCCATTGGGAGCCCTCGCCGGGCCCTGGGGCCGTAAAAAAACGCCTCGGGGTGAAAGACCAGCCCCAGGGCAAGGGTAGATGGACTTCTGGAGACGCCGTATGTCAGGGAAAGAAACACACACAGACACAGTCAGTCGTCGGCTCCCAGGAAAGTAGAGGAAAGCATGGAATGTGGGGGGGGGGAAGACCAAAGCCCAGAAACTATATGGGAAAATCTCGGGAACATCCTGGGGGTTGTGTCTACTTCTTTGCGTGGCCCTGGGCCCCGTCAGCATGGAAAACATCAGGGCGCCCCACGTCTGGGGTCGGTCCTCCCAGACATCGGGCGTCTCGAACAAATCGAGGCGCAGGTTCTTCCTCGTTTTCGGCCTCGCGGGGCCCTCGCCGGGCCTCGGGACCGTCACGAAACGACCCGGGACGGAAAACTGGTCCCGGGGAAGTGGTCGGGAGGTGGGGGGCCCGCGTCTCGCAAGAATCGAGACGTCGGATGTCTGGGCTCGGCGCTTGCCCAGCCTCGGGGCGCGCTCTCTAGCAGGAGCGCTCCGCCGCGAGCGCTCCGGGGAGGGGCGCCCGGAGCCTCCCGAGCGGCCGCGGGAGGCCCGAGCTATGGATGGCCCGACGGCCACCGGGCACGGGGGAGTTGGGCTCCCAGAGATCCAGCGCATAGGAAAGATCGAAAAAGACATGTTTTTGTTTCAGTTTTGAGCCTCTCGGGGCCCTCGCTGGGCCTCGGGACCATCAAGAAGCGACTCGGGACGAAAAGCCGGTCCCGGGAAAAGGGTCGGGACTTCCGGGGACCCCGCATTGAAAAAATCACGACACCGGATCTCTGGGCTCTGAAGAGGAAGCATCGACCCCCCAATCGCCCCTTCATCACCAATATAGGGGCCTGAAACAGCAGACCACCCCGGCCAGGGCTCCGGGGCACGATGCCGCAGAAACACGCGGTCGCATGGATGCGTCCCGAGGGTCGCACGGACTCGTTCCCAGACATCCGGCTGCTCTAATGTCTTCGATGCGTGGGCCCCAGAGGTCCGGACCACTTCCCCGGGACCGGCTTTTCGTCCTGAGTCGTTTTGTTGACGCTCCCGAGGCCCGGCGAGGGCCCCCGGAGGCCGAAAATTATCAAAAGTCGCCTGCTCAAATTGTTTGGGAGCGTCGGATCTCAGGGTTCCGCGCGGGGCCTCCGCGAAAAAGTGCCCCGGGTCGCGGCCCAGGGGCCCAGCCCGCGAGGCCGCGGATACGCATGATATGTTTCTGGTTGACCCAAGAAGGGGTCCAGCTACAAGGGGGTGGTGCAATAGATCTGGTGCGTTAGACTTGTGGGTTGCAATCGGTTTTGGGCGTGCAAGACATCCTGGGGCGCAAATGTATTGCTGGACTTTCGCGTGCAATAAAATATAGAGGCAACACGAGGCAATACAGTTCTCTGGCGGAGTACATTTGCAGTACAAGTGCCCCAAATCTATTGCACCACCCCTTTCAACTGGACCCCCTTTTCCCAGACAGCCGACGCCTCGACTTTTTCGTGACGCGGGTGCCCCACCTCCCGACCCCTTCCCTGGGGCCGGGTTTTGTTTCACCCCGAGCCGCTTCCTGACGGTCCCGAGGCCCAGCGAGGGCCCCGAGAGGCCAAGAGCAGCGAGCAAAAAGCCGCCTCGATTTGTTTTCCAGACGCCCGGTGTCTCGGTTTTCTGGGCCACCCAAGTTCAGGAGGGGAAGAACGCACACAGACACAATGAAGCGTCGATTCCGTAGAAGAAATGGGAAAAGATGGGCGGCGAGGGGGGGGGAAGACAGAAACCCAGAACCTGTGGGAAAATATGGGGGCATCTGGTTACCCAGACCCCCGACGTCGTGATTTTTTCATGACGTCGACCCCCAGAGGTCTGGACCCTTTCCCCGGGACCGGTTTTTCATCCTGAGTCGTTTTTTGACGCTCCCGCGGCCCGGTGAGGACCTCCGGAGGGCGAAAATAGCGAAAAACCTTCCGTCGTGATTTTTTCACGACGCGAGGGGGTCTGGGTATTTGTGTGCACTTATTTGTGTGTCCTTGGGCCCCTGCACGCGCGCCCCTCGGCGGCGAGGCTCCCCGGGCGCGGCCTCGGACTCGGGCTCCGGGACGCCCTCCGTGCTCCTGGCGCCGTCGGCCCCGGCGGTGGCGATTGACCTGGACGACCTGTCCGATGGCTCGCCTGCGCGCGAGCTCGGTCCGATAGGGACCGCGGGGGGGCCGGCCCAGGACGCAGGCTAGGGTCAGGTCGGGCACGTCCCTCTCCAGGAGGAGTGGTCAGAAACAGTTGTTATATATATATATATATATACAAGTGGCACGTGTGTGCCCAGGCTCATACAAAACACTGAAGGGGCGTTTGAAGCAGGAGTGAAATGCAACATCGAAGTCGCACTCGAGCGCAAGTGGGGTTGCCACACCTTGCGATGTGTGTACCAGGACCCCCCAGGAAGCCTCAGGAGGCCCGACTTGGATACCAGAAGAGGCTCCAGGAGGCCCCAGGATTGTGAGTGTTGTGCGTGTGTGTGTGATGTATGCTTTGTGTGGTGCGTGCTTTTTGTGTGTTGTAGGTGTTGTGTGTGTGTTATGTTTGTCTAGCGTGTGATGTGTTGGGCGTGATTTGTGTCTCTGTGTGCATGTAGTTCTGAAGCCCCAGGAGGCCCCAGGAAGCCCCAGGCGGCCTCAGGAGGCCCCAGGAGACCCCAGGAGGCTTCAGGAGGCCCCAAGAGGCTCCAGGAGGCCGCAGGAGGCCCCAGGAGGCCCCAGGAGGTTTCAGGAGACCCCCAGGAGGCTCCGAGGCGGGGTCTGGGGTGCCAGAAGGTTCAGAAAGCCCCAGGAGGCCCCAGGAGGTTCCAGGAGGCCCCCAGGAGGCTCCGAGGCAGGGTCTGGGGCTCGATTTTGGAAGGATTTTTCAAGCGAAACCGCCATTCCCTGAGAATCGGGGTCACAATTATTGAAATTACAAAGTGTTTTTGGACCCTGACGTCACGATCTGCGTGAGGGGTGCCACCGATTTTCAGAATTTCGAGGATGTCCTGAGCGAAACGCCCAGAAAAATCGCGGACGCGTGCGCATTAATCGCCTCTGAGCTCTATTCCCTCGGAGAGGTGCGTATGATAATATATATAAATAAATATGTAACAAGAACAAACAATTTAAAAAAAGAAACTGTCTGGGGGGCGATGTTTGCGAGGATTGGTTTGCAGTGTTCGCATGCTTGTCGAAGCTGTCTATGTTTCGTCCAGGATCCGCCTGCAGGGGGGCATGCCCGACGTGAGCTCAGGACGCAGGCTAGGGCGCGCGCGGGGGAGTGCGAGCCGAGCGGTAATTTCAGCAGGGGCCAGCGACGCGGAGCTCAGTCGGTGGCGCCGCCTCTGCTGCGCATAGAGGCCAACACGCGTTCGCCGCCGATCCTTGCGGGCACGGAAAAGGGCCCCCCAGGGGGCAGCGAGGGAGAGAGAGAGAGAGAGAGAGAGAGAAAGAGAGAGAGAACCAGAGAGCCAGAGAGGGAGAGGGAAGGTTGCGTGCACGCACACCTCGCCAGTGGCTCCGATGGGTCGGAGCTCGTCTTGTCGGAGGCGACGATAGGGGCGAATAACCCAGGGAGGGGGGGGGCCGGGCAATACATGTATCCAGGGGTGCCGATGATCTATGTCTTGGACCAGGCTCCCGGGCGAATGCGTGTAATGCCTGCCCCTGGGCTGTTCGCCCTTACCGTCGCCGCCGATCTTGGCGCTCCTGCCGTCGATGCCAGAGCAGCGAGCTTGCAAGCGTGGGGGCAGCCCCCAGCCAGGGAACGCAGGGGGGGGGGGGGGGCAACACCGCGGCGGCGCGCAGGAGGGGGGGGGGCGCAAGGGAGGGCGGCCTGCCAAGAGGGCCGGGGGGCCTCCGAGAAGCCCTGCCTGGCCTGCGGGGGCTTCTTCGAACGGGCCTCTGAGGCCTTCCACGGGAGCCGCGGCGCTTCCGTCGCCCGCCCCCTTTCGACGCAGAGCCAAGCAGGGGGCCTGTCCCTCTACAGGAGGGCTCTTCAAAAACAGTACAAAAAGTAGTCTTGGGGACGATTTTTACAATCTTTGAGTATTTTAAGAATATGTTTAGACTATTTTGTATCTGCCGTCCAAAATCCGGGGGACAGGCCCGACCTAGTGCAGGTACCCCTGAGAGCCCCCTGCACCCAAGACTCCCCCAGGGAGCGCTTGACAAGGAGCGCGCCCCAATCACTCAAAAGTATGCTGATCCGACATTCAGAGGCGACGCGCGAGCTGTGGCACATCGTATCTCACAGCTTCGGCAGCATCGAGGAGCAAGCAAAAATAAGGTATGGGAGGTCCGCGCGGACTTCTTGGATCGGCGCTGCAGTTCCCTAGCGGCGCCTCCGGCGCCGCCCCTGGCGCTCTCCGCGCGCCAGGAAGGGGGGCCCATCGCCGATCCAAGAAATCCGCGCAGACCTCCGAATCATTGTGTTTATGTCGTTCATTGTCCCTCGAAGCAATGATCCATCGTGCGCGCCGTCATCACTGCATTCACCGCGCCCAAATCAGAAGCGACCCATTTGTTTTTGTTCTGCTGTTCGTGATCTGTTCAACCACGTGTTGACGCTCGGCCCAGAGCTCGTCCGGTCATCTGACATTTGAGCCGCGATGCAAAATTGTGATGGGCAAAATGCAATTTGAAAATGTGCTAGAGTTGTCCGTCTGCACTCCCATGTGGCCCAGGTGGGCTTTCCACGAGCTCCGCAATGTCTACGAAAATTCACTGGTGGTGGTGCCATCTTCCAGGAGGTTTGGGCCCAGCACATGCCGACACTTCTGTAGAACTGCGGTCAAGGCTCGCGGAGACCATCGAAGTGTGCTCGGAGCACGGAAGCAGGGAATGCGTCGGGCTACCGGTATGACATCAGATTTCTGCCTCGAGATGCGCATCGGTCGGGAGGGGGGCCCTCTTTGAAGTGTGGACTTGTGAGCGTACGGAGGCAAGTCGTGGCATGGGCGCGACTGGATGATGAATGGACGCCTCCTCATCATTATCATCGTCCTTCCCCTTCCCCCAATTTCCTGCTCACGTTGTTCCCCCCCCCACCCTCCCCCGCCCCCTCCCCGTCCCCCCCCCCCCCCAGCCCGGACGTCCGGTGGCTCGATGTTCGAGCCAGGAGACCTCACATTGTTTGACCCATTCCCTGGGGCTGGCTTTCCAGCCTGAGTCAGGTTTTGATGGCTCCAGGGCCTGAAAACATCCTCATCAAATGTTCAAAACTAAGAAAGCAATACATGCCACAGGATTTCTAGCTTACATCCATCAGACATCGTACGGATAAACATCCAATTCCATAGATTCCAGACTTGGCCACAGAAAATCAAGAACCTGGATTCTGCAAAAGAACCAAAAGTATGACCAGACGTTCAGCACGCCAGGCAGCCCTTCGATAAATCAACACGTGGTGGCGGATCGAAGACGCCTACAGCGAATCACCGCCGCCCCCTGCCTTTTTAGGATACGCCTATGTGGCCACACGTTTGGGCAATGCTTGGCTACGCTATTGCACCATGTGTTCCCCCAGCCGTTGTGGATGCTCTTCGGGGAACACGCGGGGGAGGAAGAGGAGGAGGAGGAGAGGGAGGGAAAAGAAGGATAAGAAGCAGGATGAGGAGACCCTCTTGGGAGCTTATTAAGTCATTGTTGGGCCTCCTGGGAGCCTCCTGGGAGCCTCTTGGGGGCCTCCGGGGGGTATCCTTGGACCTCTTGGGTGCTTCTTCGACCGCCTTACGGCGTTCCTGGCCCGTCTCACGCCGTCGGAAGCCGTCTTGAGAGGCTCTCTGGCCCGTCTTGGGGCCCTCCTTGGGCGCTTCAGGGTCGTCTTGAAAGCCATCTTGGGCGCCTTGGAGGCCTCCTGGGCCGTCTTTGGGCCCTCTGGGGGCCGTCTTGGGAGCCTCTTGGGCCGTCCTGGGATCATCTTGGAGGCCACTTGGGCGATCTTGGGACGATCTTTTGGGGCTCTTGGGCCGTCGGAAGGCCGGAATGAAGCAAATGCCACAGTCCTTCAAAAACATTTGGCCTCCTCGGGCCTTCTGGAGGCCTTCTTGGAGGCCTCTTGGGCCACCTTGGAAACCTCCTGGGGGCCTCTTGGACCGTCTTGGGAGCCTCTTGGGCCGTCCTGGGGTCATCTTGGAGGCCTCTTGGGCGATCTTGGGGCTATCTTTGGGAGCCTTTGGGGCCGTCTTGGGAAGTCGGAAGGACATGTTGAAGCAAATGTCAAAATCCTTAAAAAAAAAACCCAAAGGAGAATCAATGATGTTGGTCGCTTCGGGAATTCCTGGAGGACCTCTTGGAGGCCTCTTGGGCCGTCTTCGGCGCCTCTTTGGCGTTTCTTGGACCGTCCTGTGCTCTCTTGGACCACCGTGGCGGTCTTGGAGTCATCTTGGGACCGACTCGGAGGCTATCTTGGGCTCTCTTGGGCTCTCTTGGGGCTATCTTGTCCGTCTTGGAGGCATCTTGGAGACCATGCTTGCCTGCCCAGGCCGTCTTGGAGGCCATCTTGAGCCATGTGAGGAGGATTGTGGGAGCTTTCCAGGTGGCCGGCGTGCGTGGCCGAAGCCCGAAGGGGGAGTCCTGAAAGAACCCAAAAACTGAACTTGTGATGAATCAACCAGGGGCGGCGGATCGAAAACGCCTCCGGCGAAACATCGCCGCCCCCTGTCTTTTGGAAGCGCCTATGCGGCCGAAGGTTGGGCAAGAGCTTGGTCAAGCTATCGGACCAGGTGTTCCCCCAGCGGTCGTTGCAACCTTTCGGGGAACACGTGAGGAAGAGGAGAATGAGGAGGAGGACAAGGGAGTAGGAGGAGGAGGAGGAGGAGGAGGAGAAGGAGAAGGAGAAGGAGAAGGAGGAGGATGGGGAGGAGAAGGAGGAGGAGGAGGAGGAGGAGACTTCTTGGGAGCCTCTTGGGGCATCCTTGGGGCCCCCTGGGAGCTTCTGGGAGGCGCTAGGGGGTCTCATTCGGCCTCTTGGGGGCCTTCTGGGGCTGGTTCGGGGCCTCGTTGGCCGTCTTAGGGCGTTCCTGAGCCGTCTGACGCCCTCGTGAGCCGTCGTGGGGGGCATCTCCGAACCGACTTAGGGGCCCTCTTCGGGCGCTTCGGGGCCGTCTTGGAGGCCATCTTGGGCGTCGTGGAGGCCTCTTGGGCCGTCTTGAGCCCCCCTCTGGGCCTGCAAACGTGCTGGGCGAACGTGCGCGGCGCTAGGGCGCTGTTCACGGATCGAAAACGGCCCTCCCTCCACCCGTGAAGCCGATCCAAATGTGTTTGGGAGCGAGTGCGCGCGGCGCCAAGGCGAGATCCACATGTTGAAAACAACCGCCCCTTCATCCGTGAGAATGCTGCCAGCGTCCGGCCTCACGATCAGAAACGTGAGGGAACTTCGGGCGAAACGCCCGGCCCGCCCTGCAGGCACGCCTGGGGGAGTTCAGCAAGGAGGAGTTGCTTATAAAGAACAGAGATGGAGGAGGAGGAGGAGGAGGAGGAGGAGGACGCGGAGGAGGAGGAGGAGGAGGAGGAGGAGGAGGGAAGAGGAGGTCCCAGAGGTCAGGTCCCGACCCCTCCCCCAGGGATAGCTTTCCGTCGCGGATCCAGTTGTTGCTGCCCCGGGGCCGATGACGGGCCGCGGGGGCCGAAGTCGACGAGAAGCGTTGGGATTCGAAAAAGCAGACCGTCGAAGGTGTGGGGAGCAGGAGGCCGCCGCCACCTCCTCCTCCTCCTCCTCCTCCTCCTCCTCGTCCTCCTCCTCCTCCTCGTCCTCCTCGTGCTCCTCCTCATTTGCTCCCGAGCCTCCTCCCCCGAAAGGCCGCCTCTGCTCGCCAGCGCGTGGACGAGCTGCAGCGTGAGCGGGGCGACCTGCTCGACCTGCTGGGCCGCCTCGCCGCCATCCTCGGCCCCCAGGCGGCGCCGAGGGATCTGCTCAACCTCCTCCTCCTCCTCCTTGTCCTCCTCCTCCTATTTTTCTTCTCCTCATCCTCATCCGTCTCTTCCTCATCATCTTCTTCATAATCATCCTTAACAACATCAACAGCATCAGCATCATCATCAACATCAGCAGCATCAGCATAATCGTCATCATCAGCATCAGCATCATCATAATCAGCATGATCATAAGTTCCTCCTATTGTTATCCTCCTCATCATCAACATCAACATCATCAGCATCATCATCATCATCATCATCATCATCATCATCATCATTATCATTATCATCATCATCATCATCATCATCAGCATCATCATCATCATCATCATCATCTTCTCCGTCATCATCGTCATCCTGTACAACATCAACAGCATCAGCAGCAGCATCACCAACATCACCAACATCATCAGCCATCATCATCATCATCATCATCATCATCATCATCATCATCAGCAGCAGCAGCAGCATCAGCATCAGCATCAGCATCATCAGCATCAGCATCA